TGGCTCAGCAATGCCGGAGCCCGGTGCCCCAGGGCCCACGGGGTGACTCCGGGTGAGCCCACCCCATCCTGGGAAACAGGACAAGTCAGGTCTCCCCTGGAGCCTCGTGTCTTCCCTCGATGGTGAGAACGGTGATGCAGGCGGCTCCCATCGCCATATCATCCCCACTCTGCAGATGAGGAAACTGAGGCTCAGGGATGACACATAACTTGTCACACAGCTAGTAAGTGACAACCAGGACTCGTGGCCCGCTCTGTCCCCACTCCCCTGCAAACCCAAACCCATGGGCCTCTGGGAAGACAAAAGCAGACTTTCCAAGCCGAGGAACTGACAGGAAAGGCCCCTGTAGCTGAAAACACACAGGTCGACAAGATGACCATCAAGGTTCCCCCCGAATGGCCCCCAGGGACAGGGGAGACCAAGGCCCAGGCAGCTCTGGCTCCAGGGGGAGGTACCAGCTGCTCCTCCCGCTCAGTGAGGCTCCCAGATCCTGGCCTCTCAGTCAGAGCTCTCAGCTGAAAATCGGCTGCAGCCGAAGCCAGTTTGGCTCAGTGGTAGAGCATCGATCTGAGGACTGAAAGGTCCCGGGTTCGATTCTGGTCAAGGGCATGTACCTGGGTTGCGGGCACATCCCCAGTGGGGTGTGTGCAGGAGGCAGCTGGTCGATGTTTCTCTCTCATCGACGTTTCTGGCTCTCTATCTCTCTCCCTTCCTCTCTGTGAAAAATCAATAAAATATATTAAAAAAAGAAAGAAAAGAAAAGAAAAGAAAAGAAAAGAAAAGAAAAGAAAAGAAAAGAAAAGAAAAGAAAAGAAAATCAGCTGCAGACAGCGGGGAGCTGCTCTGTCACCTCAGAGGCACCTGGGAGCAGAGCTTGAAACCCACTGCTTTTCAGGGCACATGGGGAAACCGAGGCCCAGGAAGGAGCAGGAGGTTGTTCCAAATGACACTACAAATGGTGGCAGAGCTCAGACCAAACCTCGGGGTCACTGGCCCACAGGTGCCCAAGCCTTTCCACCCCATTAGACCGCCTCTGCTGAGCAAGGGGCGACGCGGGCTGTTTGCCTTCCACCGAGGGCAGCGACTCTCAACCCTGGCTGTACGTTCGTCCCCGGGGCATGGCTCAGCACAGGAATCCCTGCTCCGGAAAACAGAGTCCCCCACCCCCACCCCCGCCCAGTCAGGGCCATCTCCAACCCAACACGAGGCAGGAAGACAGGGTTTAATCCTCTGCCTCAGACAGAGCGGCCTAGTGTCGTGCCTGTGCTCATCCCTCAAGGGTCTGGCTGGTGCCCTTCCTCCAGGAAGCCTGCCCTGATTGCTCAGCCTATGCTACAGTCTCTTTTCTCATCTCCTCCTTCTTCCAATACAGTTCAGAGGTCGCTCCCCGGTGTATGGCAGGCTTGGGGACACTTGAGGCTGTCCACAGGGTCAGGATAAAGCCTCGATATGGTGACAAGGATGATAATCATGGTGGCAGTCACCATAACTGAGTGTGCACCACAGGCCAGGCTTCACCTCATGCTCTGCACGCACAATCTCACTCAATCTTCCCAAGAGCCCTGGGGACTAAAGGCCAAATTGTTCGGGTCGCTTCCTGGCTCTGCACTCCCCGCTGGCTGTGTGACGCATGGGGCAAGTTACTCAACCTCCCTGTGCCTCAGTTTCCCCATCTATAAAATGGGGAGGATGATAATGTCTGCCTCCTAGAATGGTTAAGGGAATTAGCAAACATATGTAAAGCGCCAGGCAGTGACTGGGTGGAGCAGGCTCTAAGTATCATTGCTGATATTATTATTATTATTATTATTATTATTGTTATTATTATTATATCATCTCCATCATACGGAGGACTCAGGTAAAGCGACTTTCCTAGGGTCAGACAGCTGCGAAAACGCGGAGCCAGGACTGAGTCACCATGCCCACTGCCCCTTCTCCCGCTGGCCCACCGTCCGAGCGTCAGGATTGCTCAATCATGGCCTCTCTGAGCCGGAAGAGACCTCCCACTAACCCAGGACTGCTCTGGCTGCCGGGCAGGAGTCCCGTCCGCGGTGGGGGCACAATGCATGGGCATCCAACAGCCGGAGGAAGCAAACCCTCCTCCTCAAGGGGCGGGCAGCCAAGTCCATAAGACTCCTGGCCATGGGTGGGTTTGAATCCCGACTTGGCCACTTAGTAACTGTGTGACCCGAGCAAATGGCTGGCCCTCCCTGTGTCTCGGTTTCCTCACCTGTCAAATAAGACGAAGAGGAATAAACTTGGCTCATACGGTGGTTGTGGAGGTTAAATTGAAGAGGCTTGTTAAGCTCTTAGAACAGGGCCTGGCCCTGGGTAAGTGCTATAGACGTGTAAGTAATGGGGGGGGGGGGGGGGGAGAAGATTGATGCAGGAACTGGGGATGGGGAGGGCAGTATGTCTCTTCCTATTTCTATGTGCTCAGCCAGACCCTCAGCCCAGCCTGCAGGGTCCCCCAGACTGAGAAAATGCGCAAGCCCCGTGGCTCCAGCACCACCACCATCCCCTCCTCCCCAAGGCCCTGGCCAGAGTTCAGCCGCCATAAGCCTCTCTCTACCCACCTTTGGCCTCCCACACTTCGAGTTTCCTGGCTAGGGTCTTTCCTCGCCAAAGGTGACTACCCAAGCTCTTGTGATTGGCTGGTGTTCCAAGGCCAAGGCTCAGGAGAAGGCAGCTGAGCCAGGCCAGAGCCTGAAGATGCCCTACACAGCTCATAGGGAGCTCACACCGTGGGCCTGCAGAGCCCAGGCCTCCGGCTCTTACCCATAAATGTCCACCAGGGTCTCCACGCCGGCCACGCACACGGCACTGGTGGGGTGCTCCAGGGACACACGCACGATCCTCTGCAGGGACATGCTGGCCTCCAACAGGGCTGGGGCCTCACAACCCAGCACTGCCTACCTGCAGGCCCCCTGGCCAGTGGTTTAAAAGAGCCTGGCCCTGCCCCTCCAGCCTAGGGTGCTAGCTCATTGGCTGCCGTCCTGGAGGACACGCCCCTTCCTAGAGCCAGGATCTCTGGATTGGCTGGAAGAAACCTGATTTGCATAGGAACTTGTTGCTTCCACCCCAGCACTGAGGGAGTTAATTTCTGGCTTTAAAGGGGAGCAAGTCTCTACAGGTACCTGGCCAGAGCACAAGGGCCTGGGGGCGTGGGAGATGGTGGGGTACAGAGCTGTGCAGTATTGGTCTGTGTTTCTCACTTCCCATTCTCCTCATCCCCTTTTCCTGCATTTTCAGAATAAAATGGGTGGCTTCTCTACCCTGCTGGGGAGCTGGCAAAATGCAGAGTCCTGGGCCCGGCCTCAGTCTGATGCACCTGGACTTTTTACAAGCGCCCCGAAGGATGCGGGTGCACTTTGGTAAACGCCGGCCTCTCTCTTTAAGTCTGTGGACTTTAGAGGCAGGATTGGATGTCAGCCCTGGCTCAGCCACATCCTGGCTGGGTGAGCTGGGCGAGCCACTGATTGTTCTGTGCCTCAGCTTTCACATCTGATAAGTGGGTGCTGTACCGGCTTACATGAGACAATGTAGGTATAGCTCTAGTACAGAGCTTGGCATTATTTCATGATGAGCGTTGTTGTTATTCATTATTATTATTATTATTATTAGATAACAAAGCCTCTGGGAGGGGGAAGTGATGAGGGTGAAAAAGCTCTCTGACTAGGAGGAGCTTTGGATGCTGGAGCAGGCTTGCTCTTCGGGTGGGGAAGCTGAGGCCGGAGCGGACTCTGAGGCACCCGGAGGAACAGCAGGAGCAAGGGCTCCGGCAGGAGGGGCCTCGGGTTCAGACTCCACCATGAAGAGGGCTCTCGGGCCTGGTTTCCTCACCTGTAGAAAATGTGGCTAATCACCAGCCCTGGCAGAGAGTGCGGCAGGGGCACGCCCTGCCCCCAGGGGCGTAGAAGGTGCTGAATAGAGGTTTCCTCTCTTCTCCCCGGTACGGTGCGGCTGATGGCTGAGGCCAGGTGGAGACCAGGACCCACTTCCCAGAGTCCCCGGCTAAAGCACTTGCCGAAGTCAGGGCCTCAGCAGGACTCTAAGGCTGGCGCTCCGGTCTCCCAGTTTCGGGGGGTGGGGGGGAGGTCCTTCTCAGGGAGAGTGGCTGGACTGCCGGGCCCGGTGGCAGCCTCACGTTCTAGGCTGTAAAATGCTTGCTGGCTGACGCAGCTCTGGGTAAGAGTTTGAGTTCAGGAGGAAGTCCTAGAGTCTAGGACTGTCAGACAGTCTCCTCAGCCCACAGTGAGCACCGTTGGGAGATAGATACAGGAAGTGGGGGGCTGCCCACCCCTACCCCAGGCCCACTGCGCTGGGAACAGAGCCCTGACTCTCCCTCCGGCAGCAGACCCAGGCCTTTGCCTCTTCCCAGTTATGACCAGCTTTTAGGAACAGATCTGTGGCTCGTTCAGACTAAAGTGTCAATGACGGGTGGCAAGGCTTTTGCCTCTAAGTGCACAACAAAAGCGAAAATATAGTGAACGAGTGGGTGGGTGAGGGACTGTCAACCTGAGGCAGCCACCAGTGTGTAGGATGCGAGAGAGGTACCTTCATCCCTGAAGTCAGACCGCTGAGTAATGCAGTGGCTTTATTTTTTTTTTAATATATTTTATTGATTTTTACAGAGAGGAAGAGAGAGGGATTAGAGAGTTAGAAACATCGATGAGAGAGAATCATGGATCAGATGCCTCCTGCACACCCCCTACTGGGGATGTGCCCTAACCCAGGGCTCTTCAGTCTACGGGCTGATGTTCTATCCATTGAGCCAAACTGGTTAGGGCAACGCAGTGGCTTTAGAGGCAGAAATGAAAGGAATCAGTGGTATGGGGCTCCGGGCACCAGTCCTGCTGGGGCCCTCCGGCCTCTGTCCATAGCCCCAGCCGGCCTTCCCTCTGATGGAGCAGCCTGCCTGGCTACCCAGTGGTGAGGTGGGCGAAATTCCCTTCCCTCCTCCTCCTCACACCCCACAAACGCCAAGGAGGCGGCCACTGGAAGAAATGCATGCTGACATTTTTATTGACCAGAAAGGAGGTGACCGGTCACCTGGATCGTCTTCAGAGGGGACATGAGTGTCCCCCAGCAGCCCCTGCGGCAATTCTGGTGCTTTGCACACCCAGTGCTGCTCTGGGGACGTGCTCCCCGTCTCTCTGCGTTACCCCCTTCCCTCTCTGCCTTCACCTGGGGCCCCAGTTCCTGAAGACCTCCCTTCTCCTCTTAGCTCTGTCTAGGTTTCCTTTTGGTCACGATCAGAGGAGCCGGTAGGATCGGGGGCTTGCAGATGGGGTCCCACAGAGCCTTCCAGAAGGGGACAGGGAAGGTATGCTTCCCCTTCCACCACCTTACACCAGAGCGGTTCCATTTTTATCAATTTCCTATGTTGGGTTTCCACGTAAGCGTCTGATTACTGAGTGTCCCGAGGCTAGCAGAGTTTAACCGCAGCTGGCTCAGCCCAGGTCTCACCAGGGGCCGCCGAAAACCCCCAGGTAAAGGCTCAGAGGCTGGGGGGGGCCCTGAGGTGGCCCCTCAAGCAGTGGGAGGAAGAGAAGAGGTCTGCTCCCTGCTGCCCAGGCCTGTCTGGGGCGAGGGCCACCTCTCACCCTGCACTGGCCAAGCCTGCCTGCCTGCCTGCCTGCCTGTGCAGTCCTGGCCGGACCTTTAACCCCTGTGGCAGCTGCATCTTCCCTCCTAGACAAGGGGACACAGGACACGGGAAACCCAAGCTACTCTCAGGGTCATGGGGTTGCTGAGGGAGCCCGGGCAAGCCTTCCCCTCCCACCGCCTGCAGAAGGAAGGGAATAATTAGAGACTATTAAAGGGAATTAAACCCCACCTTCAGAGATAGCCTAATGGCCCCCCACCCTCCTCTCACATCCGGGCCCCTCCCTGCTGCATCTGAGCAGCCGGCTGCCTGCCTCACAGGCAGAGTCCGGAACCCAGGGCCCAGGAGCCCGGACGCAGAAGCCTGGCCCCAGCTCCTGTCCCGTGCCTCAGGCCTCTCTGCCAGCCTGGCACCCCCCTCCTCCTGCCAGGCTTCCTGCCTTTGATGCCCTCCCAGGCCTCCCTTTGACCTCCTTGCGTTTTGAGCTGGATGCAGCCAGCCCTCATAATTAAAGGCTAGCGAGCAGATAACAAGCACCCTTCCGAGGACAGAGTCAGGCATTAGAGGGGTTTAGTTGCTTTTTTTTTTTTCTTCTTTTTAAAGCAAACCCTCCGCAGCTGGCTGCCCCCGTCCTTATGGGCCTGTGTAAACCAGCTGAGGGGGCCGGGAGGCCACCGCCCGGGGGTCCCCTGCAGGGAAGACAGCCCAGACCCCTGGTCCTACAGGAGCCACAGGCCAGGGCCCTCACATCGGAGCCCAGGCTCCCCGGGCCCCGTTCCTGGCAGTTGGAAGAGAGGACTGACGCCCGGCAAGCACCAAGGGCCCCTCAGGACGGAGGGGAGCGATGCAAAGCCAGGGCTGCTGGTCTTCCCCAGGCCCCCTGGGAGCTGAGCTGGGGTAGGGGAGGGAAGACGAAGGGTGGTCCTTCTCCGGCGTGCAGGCCGCTCCGAGGGGAGGCTGTGCGGTGCCCATCCTGTGTCCCCGTGCCCACGGTGGCCAGCACGTTTGCGGGCACTTGAGGGATGTGCATGTAGACCTCCCCCCGGAGGATGGAGGCCGGGGAGAGGTTCCTCGCTTTCACTCTGGCGGGCTTCCCAACAGGCGGGCAGAGAGGATGGCGGGCGGGGAGCAGGCTCAGGGCACCATGTGCCACCACTTGAAGGAGAAGGGCTGCCTGCGCACGTTGGTCCCGCAGTGGATCTCCCCGAGCAGCTTGTGGTAGGACAGGTAGTCGTCGATGAAGATGCAGTGGAGGCCCAGCGGCTCCAGCAGGGCCCGCACCTTCTCCTCCAGGCAGCAGCGGCCGTTGATGACGGGCCCGTAGGGCTTGGGGATGCCCAGGTACTTGCCCAGGACCACCATGTTCACCTGCGGAAGAGACAAGGCAGGAGGGAGGCCCGGCTGGCTGCGGACACTTGGCACCTGGGGGACCCTCCTGGCCTGTGGCTCTGGCAGACACACCCCCAGGGCCTGTCCCACCCTGGCCAGCATCCCTGGGCCACCAGGGCCGGAGCTCTCTCAGAATGAAGGTCCTGCCCAGCTGGTGTAGCTCAGTGGTTGAGCATCGACCAATGAACCAGGAGGTCATGGTTTGATTCCTGGTCGGGGCCGGCAGGAGGCAGCAGATGGATGATTCTCTCTCATCGTTGGTGTTTCTGCCCCTCTGTCTTCCTCTCTGAAATCAATAAAATTATATTTATAAAGAAAGAACAAAGAAGGTCTATGGAAGTAGAGAAGAAATAGATCTATGGTTGGAAGAGAGGATTGCCAACCGGCAGGGCTGTTAGTAACATCCATGGGAGATTTATATAAAGACACACCTTCCTCTAACACTTTCTTCCATCTCTCAGGAAATTGGCATAACAACTTGGTTAGAACAAGAGTTTACCATCATCTGACAGACACTTGTACAAAAAAATATGCCATCGCCCTAGATGGTTTGGCTCAGTGGATAGAGCGTTGGCCTGTGGGCTAAAGGTTCCCAGGTTTGATTCTGGTCAAGGGCAGATCCCGGGGTTGCGGGCTTGATCCCCAGTAGGGAGCATGCAGGAGACAGCCAATCAATGATTCTCTCTCATCGTTGATGTTTCTATTTCTCTCTCTCTTCCTCTCTGAAATCAATAAAAAATAATATATATTTATGGTGTGACTGTCCTTGTAGGGCTGGTGCATTTGTTCAGTGCACAGCTTGCTCAACTGTCCCTGGAAGCCCTGGTAATTACCACCATGTGTTGAGCATCTGCTATGTGCCTGATATATCATCACTAAACCGCACAGCCTTCCTCTGAGGCTGGGCCTGGGACAGGTTAAGTAGCGTGCTCGAGGCCACACAGAGAACTGAGAGGCTGAAATCTGGTTTGGTCTGGCCCTTACCAAAACTCACACGCTGTATCCTCTGCCAGAACGGAGCATTTTGGCGGCCTGGGGCTGAGACTGGGGTAAGCAGCTGGGAGCCTTGGGGGCACCTGGGCTTATCTCCAGCGGCATCCCTGCTTCCCTAGCTGGGGGCCCCGGCTGGGAGCCCTAGAGGTGGGGAAGGGACATGTCCCCAGTGCAGGGCATGGAGTTCTTAAAGGAAAAGTCAGCCTCTGCTTGATGGCCAGAGGAGCGGACCCTCTGGACCCACTTCTAGAGGGGAGGGCTGGGTCATCTCAGGGGGAGGTGGGCTGCCCTGGACTCTGTGGCGTCCCATTCTCCAAGCCTAGCCCCTCACCTCCTAGTCTGCCCTGCAAAGCCGTCTAGGACGGGATCAACATTAAGCTGGAGGGTCTTAGGCCTTGAACGACCCACTTGCTCACTAATGGGCCAGAGTCTGCCAGAGGAGGGGTGGGGCCGGGAGGCTAAGGGGAGGGAGAGGAGCCAGGTGCGGGGTGCAGGACAGAGCCAGCCAGGTGGCCCCTCCTGGATGAGGACTCAGGAGACTGGAGGCCGCCCCCTGGCTTGCTGGGGGACCTTGAGCAAGCCAACCCTTCCCCTCTACGTCCTCAGTTCCCCCATCTGACAAATGAGGGGTTCACTGAGCATTCCCTGAAGGCCTTTCCAGGAAACACAGACCGGGACCCTATGATGTGTGTTGGGGAGTGGGCTTCTGGCAGGTGTGGGCAAGGCCACAACCAAAGGAGGGCTGTCCAATGTCATGGGCTCTGACCCAGGCCTTACCAGCAACCCTCAGCCAGACGGAAGCTGGCCACCCCTTAGAACTCTGCTGCTCAGTACGGTAGCCACTAGCCACCTGTGACGGTTAAAACTCAAACTAAAGTGAAAATTTGGTCAGCCACACCAGCCATGTTTCAAGGGCTCAGTAGCCACGCGTGGCTCAGTGGCTCCCATGTCATTCTGTGCAAATACAGAACATGCCCATCACCCCCGAAAGTTCTCACGGCCCCGCCTCAGGACGGTGGCTCTCCACCAGGGGCGATTTGCCCCCGGGGCATTTTGGTTGCCACAACAAGGGGGGAGTGGGGGAGTGCTGCTGGCATCTTGCAGGCGGGGACAGAGATCCCGGCACTGGTTCCCAAGGGAATAATGGGCACTTTGGCCAGGACCCTGCCGATAGCATCGGGCCTCGCCCAGGGCCAGGCGGGTGAGCTCACAGTCTCTCACCTGCTTGTCAGCTGCCCAGGTAATGACAGCCCGGGAGGAGCTGCCCCCTGCCCCACCTGCTGGCCTCAGGAGCCCCGCTGGGGAGCAGAGAAGGTGGCTGAGGCCCAGAAACGGAAGCCCAAAACATGTGGACCCAAAGCCACACTTCCTTTTCCCATTTGGGGAAAGCCACGCCCTGCGCCTGAGGGATGTTGTGCAGCGTCCCTGCCCCCCCCCCCCCCACTGGGTGCCAGTGGCCCCCCTCCTTATTTAGGCAATCCAAATGCCCTGGGAGCAAAGTGGCCCTGGTGGAGAGCCACTGATTGGCACGGAAAGCACACACAAGCTGGGGGATGCGGGCCGCCCCGCCCGTGCCACCTGTGCCTGGACAGGGGGTTCTTTGCTCTTCTCTGGAGGCCCAACGGGATCCCCCCAGGCCCCGGCCAGGCCCCAAGCACCAGCACAGCTCCATGCTCTCACCATGTCAGGGAAGAAGGCTTCGGCGTGGGGGCCCCTCAGGTAGAAGAGCTGCGGTATGTCCACGATGTCCCGCTCCGTAAGGCCCAGCTCCCGCTTCAGCACCTCCCGGTTCCAGTCGATGCATTTCTGGGGGGGAGAGAGAGGATCCAAGGCTTGCAGAGTGCCTACTGTGTACAGCCTCTGTGCCTGTTCGCTACCTTTTTGCGACTTTGACCTTTGTGCCATTGCTACCCCAAGGTGGGGAAACCGAGGCTCAAGTGACCTTCCCTAGGGCCCTACCCCACAGGTCTCAGCAGCCACAGGCGTTCTCTCTGAATGATGGGGGACCCCCAAGAACAGGTGGCAGGCCTGCCCCTCACCTGCACAAAGACGCTGTCACTCTGGAGGATTCTGTCGGCCAGCAATTCATTAATGCTTCTCTTCACCTGCTGCTCTAACCCTGCGAGAGAGAGAGAGAGAGAGAGAGAGAGAGAGAGAGAGAGAGAGAGAGAGAGAGAGAGAGAGACAGACAAACACGGCGCATGGGCTCAGGGAGTCCTGCCCAGGCCTCCGTGGGCCCAGGCCTTCATGATCTGGGCCAGACTTTCCTCCCCACCTCAGTGCCAGGGCCTGAAGCAAGGATGGAGAAAGCCAGAGAAGGAAACCCTGGTAGGACCTGGCTCTGGCTGCCAGTAAATCCTGGGGCTGGATCACAGACCCCTTGGGAAGGGACAGCTGGGCTCAGGGCCTAACAATCACTGTATGGTTACCATTATTGAACGCCCACCATCTTCTGGGACTCCCACTGAGTTTATTATTCACCTTTCAAGCACTGCTAGGTAGGGTTCATTATCCCCCCCTACTCAGAAAAGAGGAAACGGGGGCACTGAGAGGCTCAGATTGCATCTTTGATGTCACAGCCAGCAAATGGCAAGACCAGGGTTCAGACGCAGGTCTCTCCAGGCCGCAGGCCACTCCGCATCCCTTCCCAGGCTCCGTTCCTCCGCGGAGAGCTCTGCGCTCTGTGCGGAGGGGAAGGCGCTCCAGGGGGCCACCGGGCCTCCGAGGGTCTGTCCGCTCCCGCTCCCAGAGGAGGGTCTGCAGAGGGGCCCTGACCACCCACCTGGCTCCTGGGCCCTCTTCCCTTACGCCCCTAGCCCTGCTGCTCCCTGCGGCATGGCCCGGGAAGGCCGCCTCCCTCTGAGTCTCAGTCTCCTCGCCTGTGGAAAGGGATAAGGAGAGGGCGTGGGAGACCCGAAGGGGTCAGAATGAGTGCCCAGCACAGAAGGGCACACGGGCATGCTCGCTGCTCCCTGTTCTTTTCCTGTCCCGGGGTGTGGCCGGGGACCGCCCCCAGGCACATCACCACCTCTCAGCTCCCCTTTGCTAGCCCAGGAGAGGGAGCGCCCTCATCCCTAGCTCCCACGTGAGAGTCAGGAGAATTAGTGACATCAGGCTCTCAGCTCAGACCTGCAGACAAAGGGCCTGGAGACGGGGCACGGCCAGGAAAGGCATCGGCGGTGCCCAGGGCTGGCAGTGCCAGGGCAGCGCCCCCGCAGGACGCCTGGGTCCTTGGCACTCACCGTCGAACTGGAGTGCCTTCCCGTGGCCCTCCGCTTTCTTCTCCTGGAACAGTTTAAGGCAAGCGCTGGGGCTCGCCAGGAGCAGCCGGAAGCCCTGGCGCAGAGGGAGGGAGAAAGCTCAGTGCACGGTTCCCCCCAGATGCCGGAGACCCCGAACTCAGGAGGGGCTGAGTTCAGAGGCCAGACCATGTACGCGATACTCCTCTCACCTCAGCGTCACCCACCGGTTACAAAGACCTACCAACAGGTCCTCCAAGCTGGGTCAGGCCTCTAGGCCTTTGTCCATGACGTTCTCCCTGCCTGGGGGTCCTTCCCTGCTTTACTCACCTGGGAATTCAGGCCCCCTCCCAGGCTGCTTGCTCCCTGAAGGCTGTGCCCTCCCTGGCCATCTCTGCAAGGCGGTCCACTGAGGGATTGACATATTGGCCCAGAGCCCACTGTCTGGGTTTGAATCCTACCCTACCTGTTCATTGCCCTTCTGAGCCTCAGTTTCCTCATCTGCAGTTGGGGGGGACCCAGGCCTGCAGGGGGAGGGCAGTTGAGGGGGGGCCAGGCCAGCAGAGGAGGGCAGTTAGGGGCAATCGTGCTGGCAGGGAAGTAGTTAGGGGGTGATTAGGCTGGCAGGCAGAAGCGGTTAAGGTAAGGTGACCAGATGTCCTGCTTTTGGCGGGGCAGTCCTGATTTTTAACAATTTGTCCCACATCCCGCGGCTCTTTAAAAAAGTCCTGATTTTTGGAAAGATTGGAAAGATTCTTTCCAAAAATTAGGACTTTTTAAAAACGATGTGGGACAAATTGTTAAAAATCAGGACTGTCCCACCAAAAGCGGGACGTCTGGTCACCTTAGGTTAGGAACATTCAGGAAGGCACTCAGGTGAGCAGTTGGGAGCCAGCAGTCCTGGATTGTGAGAGGGATGTCCAACTGCCCGTTTAGTAGGATCCTAGTAGGATCAGGCCTAAACGGGCAGTCGGACATCCCTCCAGGGGTCCCAGACTGGAGAGGGTGCAGGCTGGGCTGAGGAACACACACCCACACCCTGTGCACGAATTTCATGCACCGGGCCTCTAGTGTACACATCATAGGTGCTCAGTAAATGTTACCAATTTTTTTATCGGTGTCATTTCACGAGGGTCTTGGCTGAGAGGTGGGGATCAGAGGAAACACCCCGTAAGTGTGAGAATGTGTGTGAGTAGTGAGCCACCGAGCGCCCTCCTGACCTGAGCTTGGACCTCCTCTGAGAAGCCCTCCACGATGAATGCCCCCTGGCCTCAGGGTACCCTGCCTCTGAGCTCAGTGTGGATTAGGTGTTGAGTTGGTCCCAAACAGCTTTGCCCTGTTTCATCCCATCAGGTCAGGGAGGGAAGAGGTGGTTCGCGCAGGAGCGGGGGCACACCTTTTGGTCGGAGGTGGGCACGAAGGTCAGGAACTCGTCCACGTGGCCCACGGAGAGCCAGTCGGAGTAGAGCTCCACGGGCGCCTGCACCTGCTGCGCCTTCAGGAAGTCACGCACCACCTTGGCCATCCGCCGCCCACCTGACCTGCAGGGGAGGGAGAGAGTGGCCGTCACCTCATGGTGACCTGTGGGTGTGTCAGACGCAGGGCCCTGATGTCTCTTGCATCTCAGAGTTTTCGAGGATGTAGCGCATCTGAGGGTGTGGAGTCTGCATTTTGACAAGCATCTTAGCTGACTCGAGAGAACCACTGCCCCACTCAGCTTGTGGTTCTTGAGATGAAGTCTGAGCATTGTCAAGCCACCCTTTCTTAGCAGACAGGGAAGGAGGGCGGGATGAGGGTGGCCTAGAACAGGGGGCAGGGGGGGAGGGGCACAGGAGCTGGAGCCCCAGGGCTGTGGAGACGTCCTCACCGTGCCCCCAGTTCACAGATGAGGCAGCTGAAGCCTTGTCTAAAGTCAGAACAACATATTATTCTTCGGGCACTTTCCACTCCCCTTGACACAAGTAACCAGGTGCAAACACACGTACAGAGATTCTTTGCACTATGTTTTACGAGCCCTAATCCTTTTGGCTCAGTGGATAGAGCGTCAGCCTGTGGACTCAAAGGTCCCAGTTTCGATTCCGGTCAAGGGCACGTACCTTGGTTGCAGGCACATCCCCAGTAGGGGGTGTGCAGGAGGCAGCTGATTGATGTTCCTCTCTCATCGATGTTTCTAACTCTCTCTCCCTCTCTCTCACCACTCTGTAAAAAATCAATAAAATATATTTTAAAAAATATGTTTTACAAAAAAGGGATCACATGTCTTGCCTGGCTTGTCAGTTGAAGGACATACGGATGAATCCGAGCCGGCATCCAATCTGGTGGTTCTACCTTATACAGGACACAATCTGGCCTTGCCCAGGCTCCTCCTCTGTCACCACCCAGCCAGTGACACCCTCGTCACCTAAATAATCGCAGTGGCCTGTCCCTTTCCCCGTTCTCCCCGCTTTCGGCCTTGCTCCTCCGCAGCCTAACCAGAGGGGAGCTTTTAAATATGTCAGAGCATATCCCTCCTCTGAACAAAACCCTCACAACACTCTCATCTCACTAACGGTAAATGCAAAGTCTTCACCAGGACCTGCACAGCCCCACCGATTCTGACGTCCCCTCCTGCCACTCTCCTCTTCAATCACTCAGGTCCAGCCAAGCCGACCTCCTGCTGTCCCTCTAATACAGCAGGCACGTTCCTACCTCAGGGCCTTTGCACATGCTGTTCTTTCTACTAAGAATCCCTGCCCACTCCCCACAAGTTTAATTCAAATGCTACCTTCTTCCACTATGAGGCCTTTGAAATGAAAACAATTCCTCTTACTTTTCTCTATCCAGTGTTCCCCAAAGTGTGGTATGCGTCGTGCCCCCAGGGGTACGGGAAGAGTTTGGTGGGGGTACGCGTTGCACCGGAGTTTGGTGGGGATATGCACTGCACCGTGCTTAGCTGCGCCTAGTTCTATGTTCTCATGAGTATGAGGGGTACTCAGCATTACGAAAGTTATAGAAGGGGTACACGTATGTCAAAGGTTTGGGAAACACTGCATCAGTACTGGTTGGCACACTTGATGTCTTATTGTCTGGCTTCCCACTAGGATGCAAGTTCTAGGAGGGCTGGGATTTTTGTCTATGCTCACTCTGTATCTCTTATATAATAGATGCTAAAAGTATATCTGTGAATGATATTCATCCCTTTGAACCACTAATCTGTGCTAATCCAGGGCTGATATAAATCAAATATGTCATAGACACCGTCTAGAAAAAAGTCCCCACAAGGTAGAACCACCGGATTGGACAACACTGCTTTGATTTTGGGGATGGGATTGTGGGAAATATTTTTCTTGTATTTCTGTTATCTTAATAGAGTGCTGGTAATTTTATTTTATTTTATTTTATTTAATCCTCACCTGGGGATATTTTTATTGTTTTTTTAAATTTATTTATTTATTTATTTTTAGGGAGAGTAGAAGAGAGATGGAAAGACAGAGAGAAACACCGATGTGAGAGAAACACATCAATTGGTTTGTTTCCTCCTGCACATACTCCGAGCAGGGACCAGGCCAGGGCGGAGTCTGTAACCAAGGTATGTGCCCTTGACCAGAATCGAACCCAAGACCCTTTGGTTTTCAGGCCAAGGCTCTATCCACTGAGCCAAACCAGCTGGGGCCAGTGTTGGCAATTTTAAAAGCCTTCTTACAAAACAGTGAGATGATGGAGAAGAATTAGACTTTAGAAACTGCACATGAGCAGAAAGTGGCAGGAATCAGAGACATGGAAGGTGGAGGGGGGGTGCAGAGTCTCCCTCCTAGGGGTGCTCCACAGCCATCTGCCCGGACAACCCAGGAGGCATCGGACCTGGTCTCTGAGCTACATCAAAGCTGCCACCAGGAGGCAGCATTGCACAGAGGTTGTTTTAAATGTGAGGAAAGAGAGTGAACTATGATTAAGCATGGACCAGCATTTGTTGGGCTCCGTGTGCCGGCCTGAGGCTCCCCACACTCTCCTCACCAGCCACTCGCTCACCTGCAGCCCAGGCCGACCCTGGGCCCCTTCGAGCTTGGCTAGGACAGCAGATGTTTTGACCTCCTACAGGGAGAAGGCAGCAGCTCTATCTCCTGCCTCTGCATCAAACTGCACATCTCCCAGCTCCTCTGGCTTTCAGGAGGCTGGAGACCTGGCTTTCTAGGTGAGGCCTCCTGAGACATAGGTATATCTGTACATGTGTCATTAAGCTCACACAGTTCAGGCCAAAGACCGCCAACATCCGTTTGTGAGTGTCCTCCTAAGATTCTGTGACCTTCCAAATCCAAGAGTCTAGGCCAGTGGTCGGCAAACTCATTAGTCAACAGAGCCAACTATCAACAGTACAACGATTAACATTTCTTTTGAGAGCCGAATTTTTTAAACTTAAACTTCTTCTAATGCCATTTCTTCAAAATAGACTCGCCCAGGCCGTGGTATTTTGTGGAAAAGCCACATTCAAGGGGCCAAAGAGCCACGTGTGGCTCGCGAGCCGCAGTTTGCCAACCACTGGTCTAGGCCTCCGAGCCTCTGATCCTTGAACCCATGCAGGAAGCTAAGACCGCTTCTCAGACTGGAGACTTGGGTTGGCGGTGAGGGAGCCGGAGGGTGGATGCTGCGGTCCGTGCCCTCCGCCCCGCACCCCCCTCCCGCCCCGCCTCTCACTTGGGGAAGCTGCTGCCGATGAGGATCCGGCCCAGGGGGTACTCCTTGCCGCCCACGGTCACCGGGGGGCTGACGTCCAGGTTGCCGAAGGAGTCAAGGCCGGAGGCGCCAGCGAAAGGGATTTCCTGGGTCACGTATCCAAAGTCAGGGCCCTATGGGAGGACCGGCAAGACACCACCCCCAGAAGGAAGGGTCAGTTAGAACAGAAAAACCACCTCTACCCACTGTTCACAGACTTTCCCATTCTCCGAGCACCCTGCAATCCAAGTCCAAGCCAAGGAGAGCACCCTCACTAGAAAAGCCCCCCGTTTGGAAATCAGGCGACACACTCCTGCAGAACCCGTGGGCCACAGACTACATCCAAGTGGACAGTGGACAGCCTTTTTTCCAGAAAGGCAACAAAAACACGGCGGATTGAAGCTGTCCTCCTGGGGAAGCACTTAGCTCTGAATGCATATTAGGAAGGGAAAAGATTGACAACTTTAGCTTCTGTTTCTGAGGGGGGGGGGGAGGCCGGGGGTTGAAGGGGGATGACAAATTAATCCAAAGGAAGTAGAAAGAAGGAAAGGATAAAGGTGAGGGTGGAAATCAGTGGGAAAATGCCCTGGTCAGACACGCCCTTGACCCAGACTCACCCTGCAGGGCTCATTGTCCATTTGCTGGATCTCGTCCCTGATCCCACCTGGCTGGGGTGAATGTCTTGCCCTGTCTGTCTGAGCACCCAACTACCCCACCACAGCCCTCCCCGCTCAGACACCAGGGTTATCCGGGCAGTGGGGGCGTGGGGGCCGGGAACAGGCAGAGTCCCTGAGCTTCAGGACCTTTCTAGGCTAGCCCAGCAGTAAATCACAGGAGCTATGGAGGCTGTCCAATGTCTACTTGGATGTAGTCTGCGGCCCGGCCTCTCTGGTTTTGCATCTTGGTGCCACCACTAGCTGTGTGGCCTTGGGCAAGTAGCTTAACCTCTCTGAGCCTCAGGAAGGAGAGACTTGAAGCGCCCCCTGGATTAAATGAGTAACCTTGTAAAGCTGGGGAGTGCCTGGACCTCAGTGCACAGTTGCTAGAGCTGCTCTTGTGTGTAGGAAACAGCACAGCCTGGCACACAGTAGGTGCTCAGAAAACCTTGGTTACCTGAAGAGAGGCCCCAGCTCATAAAAGTAAGAGCCATGAGGGTTTAACAAGAGTGCATTCCCCTCAAAGGGCAGTTGGGTTTCCCCCCAGGGATGACCCTTCTGTTGGCTCCCCCGTGGAGGAGGAAGGTCCTCAAGAAGACTTTATTGGCTAGCCCCTCCCAGAACATGGAGCAATTTGCATCCTATTTGCATATTTGCTCAAACCTCCCACGGACACCCCATTTGCCACAGCCCGTAGGCCACCTGTGTCCTTTTGCCCTCCAAAGGACCAGGACTGGGCAAAGCTGATCGGGGTCCCATAGGAGGAGCCACCCCAGGGGTTCCCACTGCGCCCTTGGCCACATACCAGGATCCTCTTATAGGCGAACTCCTTCAGGCCCCGGTCCCGGGGGGAGTCAAAGACCACGGGGAAGGACTTGTGGGGTGCCTCCACGTAGCCAAATTCCATCTCGTCCTGGGAAGAGAGACCAAACACTACAGTGACCTCCTTGGTGTGGTTTTTCAGAACGGGGTGATGCCCCCAGGCCGGGGGCAGGGCGGGGCAGCAGATCCTCCCTAAGATCTGGGGGGTGCAGGAGAGACCCCTTAGGACCTTGGCTAGGAGAGAACTCTGTCTGGGACCAGGGCATTTGGAGGGAAGCAGGAGAGACGGGTGATGCAGGCAGCGGGAAGCGTTCCCCTAACCTGCATTCCCCACCCTGAGTCCCGGGTCCCAGGGAGCCTGGCCTCTCTGGAGCCTTTCCCAAAGCCCAGTGAAGCCGGGCTCAGCCGCCCAGGCCACCCCACTGCCCCCAGGGTCTGCTCGGCACCCACCTGGATCCAGCGATCATTTCGATTTTCGACCCAAGGGCAGATGACCAGCTTGCAGTTGGCTTTTGACACCAGGTCAGACATGTCCTTCAGAAATTTCTCATTTGAGCCATGAGGGTCTATCACGCTGCAAACAAAGGGAGAGGAGAGGGTAATAACGGCCTCTGGCCGTGACCTTGGCTTTGGGGCCAGGAGGTGGGGGATGGATGGGGTGGTCTTGATCTAGTCTGTGCTGGGCCCTGTGTAGCCCTTGGATGCAGAGATTCAAGCATAGGCCTCCCTTAGAGAGGCTCACAGGCTGAGAGATGGACAATGTCCCATTATCACATTGGGTGACAGGTGCAAGGTGAGGGACAAGCCCAGGGCTACGGAGCCCGGCGGTGAGGCACCAGCAGGGGCAGCCATGGTGGAGGTGACCCACGGACTGGATCTCACTGGTTTAGGTGGTGGCCAGGGGGCAGGTAGCTCATCCACTCCTGTTCCACACGCCTGACCGGACCGGAGGAGTCCGGGTGGGGTTAGGGAGCCAGAGGAAAGAAAGAATTCCCTCTGAGCACCTGTTTGGCCACGCCCTTCCCCGCCTCTTGATTTATGTTTCAGGTCAACAGTGGCACTTTCCACTGGTCTGACCTCGATGCAGGGACCTGGCATGACCTTGCCAACAGAGGCCCGCCCGGCCCTGGAGGGGAGGGGCCTGACGAGGATTCTGGGAGGTGGCAGGAGGACAGGGATGGGCCAGGGCTTTCAGGCCACTCCGGAATCTGGCTTTCCATGTTTATTTCAGGCCCAGGAGCACCCCCACATCAGAGAGAGGCTAGGTCTCCTGCAGCCACCAGCTGCCTGACATGGGCCTGGTCTCACTGCCTAGACCAGGGGTCGGCAAACTGTGCCTCACGAGCCACACGAGGCTCACAAGCTGTGATTTGCTGTCCTGTTGACTAGTGAGTTTGCCGACCACCGGCCTAGACTGAACCCAGAATGTTCTGGGGCTTTCGCAGGCAGGACAGGGTAGGGGCAGGGGCAGTGGAGGTTGAGTCGGTGACCTTGGCCAGGGCCTTTAGCTGCTCACGGCGGGTGGGCTAATGGGCCCAAGCCCGCCCACTGCTGTCCTGTTCCCAGGTTGCGCCTGCGGGAGCCCTCACAGATTTCCTTCTGGTCCAAGTGAGGGGCCCACCACAGAGCAGCGTCTGTTCCTGTCTCCCCAATTCCAGAGATGGCAGGAGAGCTGCAGGGGGAGTGAGGCCTCACCTGCACACATACAGCTCCAGGGGGGGCTGGGTGTTGGGGGTCATGATCCAGGGGGCCATGCGGAAGGCCACAGTGTCTGTGAAGATGGGCACCTCGGGCAGGGTCTACGGGGAAACGAGGACTCAGTGGTCCTGGAGCCTCCAAACTGGTCCCCCGAGTCCCTCAGCCCCTATCCCAGCCCCCGATGCCCTACATACCCCCATGTCCACCAGGCTGACGCTGAGAGAGACCAGCCCCGGGAAGTCAGCACTGGGGAAGGTGAGCCCCTCCACATAGAAGTTGATCTTCTGCTCCCCTGGCTGCCGCTCGACTTCGTAGGACAGGTGCTGGGGCCCCAGCACCTGCCTGTAGTGTGAGAGGGAGTTCCCACCTAGGGGAAGCAAAGTCAGCACAGGGGCCAGCGCTGGGGCGGGGGGTGTGGGGCTGTGAGGACAGGAGAGAGGAAACCAGGGGTAGAGCCACCTCTGTGCTCGAGCTACTCCAGCTCTGCCATGCACAAGCTGTGTGACGTCGGCTCAGTGACTCAGCCTCTCTGAGCCGTAATTCCTCTTCTGGAAATGGGCTAACATTCTATTTCTCATGAGGTCAATATAAGCTTTAAACCAGCTGGCACAAAAGGCGAAGACAACCCAAATCAACAGATGAATGGATAAGGAAGTTGTTATATGGCCGCACAATGGAATATTATTCGTGCAGAAAAAAGAATGTAGTACTCATAGATGCTGCAACATGGGTGAATCTTGAAAGCACTAAGGTAAGTGAAAGGAACCAGACACAAAGGCCACACAGTGTCTGATTCCACTGGTATGAACTGTCTAGAATGAGCAGATCCATGGAGACAGAAAGCAGGTTAGTGTTGGCCAGGAGCTGGGGGTTGGGAGGGGGGGAAGATTGGGGAGTGACTAGTAATGAGTACAGAGTTTTTTCTGGGGGGGAGGGGATCAAAGTGTCTTGAAACTAGAGAGAGGTGGTGGTTATACAACATTGAGAATGTACTAAGTCCCGCTGAATTGTTCCCTTTAGAATGGTTAAGTTTATGCTACCTGAATTTCACCTCAGTTTTTAAAAACATATTTTATTGATTTTTTACAGAGAGGAAGGGAGAAGGATAGAGAGCTAGAAACATCGATGGAGAGAAACATCGGCCAGCTGCCTCCTGCACACGCCCCACCGGGGATGTGCCCGCAACCAAGGTACATGCCTTGACCGGAATCGAACCTGGGACCCTTCAGTCCGCAGACTGACGCTCTACCCACTGAGCCAAACCTGTTTCGGCCACCTCAATTTTTTTTAATTGAGTAGTAAACCTGGCTGGGTGCTCATTGGTTGGAGCATCGTCCCGTGAACCAAAAGATTGCGGCTTCAAGTCCCAGTTAGGCACATATCTAGGTTGCTGGTTTGTTCCCCAGTGGGGGTGCATACAGGAGGCAACTGATCCATGTTTCTCTCTCACATCCATGTTCCTCTCTCTCTAAAAATCAATAAAAACATATCCTTGGGCGAAGATTTTTTTTTTTTTAAAGAGCAGTAAAATTGAGAGAGAGAAAAGTGGTAGTTCTGCCCGCCTCCTCTCCTGGGAACTGTCCAGGCGGTTCTGGTCTCATCCTGGTTGGCTGCCGTTCCCGCACCAAGGCTTGCTCCTGCGCTGGTGTCATGGTGTTCCAGGCCCGGCCCCTGCCTAACCTGCCTCCACTGATGCATTCAAGGATCCCTCTGGTTCCTGTCAGGCTCATTTAGCCAGAACAACAAGTCTGGGTCTGTTCGAACAGAGACGCATGAAGAGGAAGAAGGAAGGGGCAGGAGAGGCCTCTTGCTATTAATAAAAACGAGGAAGGGCACTCAGGATTAAGGATGGGTAAGTTTTAAGTCACAGACTTGATTGATTATATCTCTGGTAGACTTCCCAGGGGAGGCCTGGGCTTCAGCTTTGCTGGTTCCTGCCCCCCTTCACCCCCACTGGACAGAGCTTATCTGGGCATCGGGGGCTCATCCCGAGCTGAGTGACCAGAGGGAGGAGGAGGAGAGGACATGGGAGCAGTGGAGAGAGAAGGGGCTTTGACACTCAAGAGACCTGGGTTTGCATGCTTGTTCCACCCCCACAAGTGGTTGTGTGACCTTAAGACAGTAAATTCAAGCATCTGAGCCTCAGTTTATGCCTCTGTAAAATGGGACTAGTTATCAAGCCTCCTTCTCGGTTAACATGTTGTGTCCGGATGGAGTAGCTGTGTGTGAGCTGTAATGAGAGTTACGGGAGGCCATGGAAGGAAGGGGGAGAGGTGGACGAGAGAAGACAGAGCTTGGGAAGCAGAGGACGGACAGGGCAGGACACCGGGCCACTCACCCCGAGCACAGAAGACGCCCACTCTTTTGGAATCAGAAAACGGCACGCTCAGGACCAGCTTGTGGCTGTCGAAGAGCTTGTCAGGGCCGTCGCAGGTCAGCACCATGGGGGACATGTCCTTCAGGTCTGAAGCGAGTGGCACCCTTGAGACAAGCCTCTCTCTACCCCACTGGCCGGCTCCCGTCCCATCCCCCCTGACCCTTCACCACCGCACCCCGTCCCCCTGGACTACACCAGGGTCCCCGCTGTCGCTCACCTTCCAGTGACGTCAGCTGGCTGTTGTCAAGGTCAGGCCTTCTGGACCTGGGACTATCCCGGTCACAGTTCACCAGCAGAATGGCCCCATAGCCCGCAGGGCCCCAGTGCCAGGTTTTCTGTGGTAAAACAAGAGACTTCGGGGTCAGGGGGACCAGGGGGCTCTGGGAAGGGGCTCTGGACATGGCTAGGGCTGGCTGCTTTGTTAGCTTGGAGACGTTTGTATCCTGGCTCATGGTTGAGCTGTGTCCTATGAGGCAGAAGGTCACGGTTCGATCCCTAGTCAGGGCACATGTCCAAGATACGGGCTCGATCCCCAGTAAGGGGTGTGCAGGAGGCAGCTGGTCGATTATTCTCATCATGGATGATTCTATCTCCCTCTCCCTCTTCCTTCCTCCCTCTGAAGTCAACAAAAACATATTTTAAAATAAATAAAGTCTGTTTTGAAAGGTTTGCAGAGGGCTCGTGGATTTGGGCACTGAGCTCCATCCAGGTCTCTAACCCGGAGTCCCTCCACCCTGTGGGGTGAGTGACCTGCGCACTGCTCACAGCGGCCCCACCCAGCCGTCGTCACCACACTCCGCACAGCCTTCGCCAGCCTGCCCTTCGCCAGGGCCGAGGCTGCCTCGCCCTGACCTCGATGGGACTGGAGGAGAGTCGTGGAAAGCCTCCTCATTCCGCACCCTCCTGGGGCCTGTGCACCCACAGTCCCGCAGACCCCGCCCAGAGGCCCAGGCTGAGGCGGGAAGGATGCCTGCGGCCCTGCCTCCGAGGTCGATCGAATCATCCACGCTCTTCCTGACACGCCTCTGCTTTCTGCCCACCAACCCCACAGTGCAGCTCACTCTCCCACCTCACAGGAGAGCGGGGAGGGGCTGTGGGACGTCACGTAGACGGGATTCAAACTCTGGTCTGGGGGTTCTGCCAGCATATATGGTGCTTGAGTTCACCCTCTGGGAAGGGGCTGCCCTGCCCCAGGGCCCAAGATGTGCCTTGTGAGACTGGCCTCACTCACCACCTGATCCAGGCAACCCAAGCCATCCATGGCAGCCCTGCCCCGTCCTGTCCACCAACCTGTGGTCCAGGCTTCCTCTCTGGGGTCTTTCTCTAAACTACATCTTCCGCCCTCTAGGATGGCTCTGAGTACTTCCTATGGGGTACTGCCTTGAGCTCCCCCTCCCTCCCCCTCACTCTTTAGGGTGTAACTAGGCTGTCCACAGCCTCCTCCACTGGAAGCCTCGCCTTCCCCTCGCCTTCATCAGTCACTCAGCAACCTTTATGAAACACCTGCTGTGTTTGGGTTCCAAACAGCCTACGCAATAGAAAATGGACCAAGCACACGAACCAGCCCCAAGGGCAAGGTGGCAGAAGAGAGACCCAGAGGGTAAGCTGCTGTGCATCGCGCAGTGTGAGTTCCTCCCCCTGGGCCATCTGACAGTCCCCAGATGGGTCCCCTGCACGGCTGGGTACCACAGACCCTCGGCATCCATGGCCCTTCTGGAGGGAGGGCCCATCCCCACCCACCCCACCCCACCCCACCCCACCCCAGGCCCATCCTCAGGTTCACCTGTCTGCCCTGCGGGCTCGGGGTAGCCAGGAGAGCCTCACCTTGTCGCCTTGGCTCCGCTTCGCCTTGCCCTTGCGGGCCATGTCAACATCCAGGGAGACGTCTAGAAAGAAACAGGAAGGAGTTGCCTTGGCTCACCAGGCCCCACCCTCTGCCTACAACATCCAGGGGGGGAAAAGCTTTGCACCCCCCCCCCCAGGCCCTTGAGAAGTGGGAAGCCTGTTCTGGGACGCCCTGGGGCAGCCCTGTGTGGTGCTGGGTGCTGGAGGGACCCACATCTTTGTGTCTTGAGTTTCTTGCTCATCTACACTCGCTGAGTTGGAGGCCCTGGCTCCCATGGTTGGGGACTGGGCCTGAGGCTCTGGGTGCTGGTTTCATAGCTCTCGGGGCCAGCTGCCCGGGTGCTCAGGCTGTGGGGGGACGGGGAGGGTGGTACGTGGCTGTCTAGGGTTAAGTGCCAGCCTGGGGGTTCCCGTGGGTGTGACAGTGGGACTCCAGGTGAAGGGGCCATTGAGGGTTTAGCTGTTGACACATGGGCAGTGAAGTTTCTAGATACCTGTGGCCCTAGGTATTGCTGGGTCTCCCTCTCTGATGCTCTAGGGAGCCACACCCCTCAATAGTGGAGGAAGCAGCCATGGGCTTGGACTCAGGGCCCCCCTAAGACTCTCCACAGACGCCACGGAGGAGTGTGGGGCGATGCAGAGGGCCTGGGAGGCAGTACGTACCGACGCCAGTGAGGTGGAGCACACTCTGGCCCAGGACACGGTCCTCGCTCCGCCTGAAGTAGGAGACCTTCACCTGTGGGGACACAGTCAGCCCTAAGCCAGCATGGCCGCCGCTTCAGAGACAGCAGTGACCAGGGGTTTGGGGGTGACCCACGCCTCCCAACAGCCCCGCTTAGAGGCAGGGCAAGGCCCGGGGTCCCAGGTCCTCCCTGCTGCTGCAGGCCCATGTCTCAAAGGCTCCAGGCCTGGATCCCGAGCTGCCTTATCCAGCTGGAGGGGCTCTGGGTGCCTCCCCAGCTTCCGGGGCTGGGCAGGGTGGGGGCAGAGTATAGAGGGAGCAGGCGGACCCTTAGAAACTCATGGGGGATGTCAGAGAGAAAGAATGAGAGAAGGGCATCCACTGCCATTGACTTAGGCCAAGTTACTCAAGGCCTCTGTTTCTTTATCTGTAAAATGGGAACAATGACCTCCATCCCATAACAGCCAGTGGTGATGAGCTTTTCCCAGGATCCAGAACCCATGCCAAGTGCTCTCTCCAGGGCCCTTCGAAGGCCCCAGAATGGCCCCAGTAGACAGGGCCCATGGGTAATGAGGCTGCTCAGGGCCCTGCTGTAAGTCGAGGAGACAAGGTCTGAACCCGCAGCGGGCTGCGGGGCCTCTGCTCTCAAAGGCTGCTCAGTCCCTGCCCAGTCAGTGGGTCCGTGTGTGGGGTGGGAGGCTGGGGCAAGTGAGGCGGCTGTCATCTGAGCAAGAGAAGACTTCCCAATGGTCAGGTGTGCCCCTGCGTCTGCCCGGAGGCACAGATCCAGCCCACACCAGAGTGGGGGGCTGGTTTGGGCGTGGTCTAGGCTGAGCACAGGATTGGTGTGGGATGTGTGTGACCCTGACGGGAGAGGAGCAGGCGGTGGTTTTAGGGAGAATTCATTCACGTGGACGTGCCACGTTGGGCCTCGGGCGGGCTTCGTGTGTGGGGTGTCTGTGGAGCTGTATCAGGATGTGTCATGTGGACACAGGTGTCCAAAGCCTTCGGGGTTTGGGTGAGTGGGGTGACATGTGGATGAGGTATGCTTTGGAGGGCTCTTACCTTGAGATCGTCTAAGGCCTTACTGGCTGTTTCCACGGCTACAGTCAGGTCCACATTGGGGTCCAGGGGCCATTGGGTTCTGTCTGCGGGCACCGTCACCCGTGTTGGATCGTAGAGGATGAAGATGTGAACCCCTGGGCTCCCGGAGACCCGGAAGGTCTCGGCGCCCCTGGGCACATCGCTGCCAGAGAAAGGAGAGGGGGGAAGGGTACGGGGCTCAGGAGTGTGACCATAGCAAGGCCACCCAAATGCCACCTGACCACTGGGCTGGGAATGGTGGGGGAGGGCACTGGGCAGCCTAGGCTCCATCCAGCTGTCTTCTGACCTTCATGTGGCTCACCTGGGCACATGACCCCCGGCCTCAGTCTCCCCATCTGTAACATGAGGGGGTGGAGCAGAGCACTGGTGCTGAGCCCTTCCAGCAGACCTCCCTGGGGGTCTGAGACATCAAACAGCCCAGGCTCAGCGGTTAGAGCCTCAGCCCATGGACCAAAGACTTCAATTCCCGGTCAAGGGCATGTACCTGAGTTGAGGATTCACTCCCCACCCCCAGTCCGGGTAACTGCAGAAGGCAACTAATCTGTCGTCTGTCTCTCTCTCTCCCCCTCCTCCCTCACTCCCTCCTTCTCATTCTCTCTGAAAAGCAATGAAAAAAATATCCTCAAGTGAGAATTTTTTAAAAAAAGGGAGATGGGGATGGGGCCAAGTCACAAAGTTCAACCCTCCAGTTTCACAGCAACCCCGAGACTCCAGGAAGCAGAGACAGCAAACCTCTGGACACCCCCACCCCCCACCCCACCCCAAGGCGTCCCGCTCTCCTGCTGCCAACGGGAACCCACTGTCAGCGCCACTCCCGGGGCCGCTGGGCAGCCTCCTCACTGGTCTCCGAGGCCTCCGGGCCCTCTCCGGCCGCTCCGCACGCAGCACACCTGAGTCACATTGTGCTGCTCCGTTATGTTCGCAAACAGTGGGGCCCATCACACCCAACAAAGCCCCACAATGATAGATACGGTCCCCCCTGGTGGCTCCCTGCCACCTCCCGACCTTTCTCCCCACTACGCACCCCTCCCCCTAGCCCATTCTGCTCCGGCCACACCGACCTTCCAGCTCTTCCATGAAGCTGCCAGGCTGCCCTGCCCCAGGGCCCTTGCACTGGCTGCTGCCTCTGCATAAAATGGTCTTCCCCCTCCTCACCCCCAGCTATCCGCAGGCTCCCTCCCTCACCCCCTTCCGGGATCGGCTTAAATGTTATGTTCTCAATGAGCTTTCCCATCACCCCATTTAATCTGCAGCTCACCCCGCCTTCCCCCTCATCCTGTTCCTCTGCTGATGCTCACTCACTCCGTTTATTGCCCGTCTCTCCTGCTGGAAGCTCAGCTCTATGAGGGCAGGGTCTGTTTTGCTCAGCGCTGTGTCCCCAGCACCGGTAACCGTGTCTGGCATGTAGCCGGAGCTCATAAGCCCTTGTTAGAGGCATGGGTGGGCTCCGGTACCTCTACTCGGCAGGGAGACTCGGCCCATCCGTGCCGGGGAGGGATCTGGAACTTGGCTGGTGCCAGTACCCAGGGCATCTCCCCGTCCACCTGGTACCACATCCACCTACACCCCGGGGCTCTGGGCTCCAGAAAGGGGGGCTGAGAAGCCCTCCGTCGGCCAGCCCCCAGCCTGGGGCGCTCGTCTTCCAGGCTCCGTCCCTCTCCTCACACCACCAGCTGCCCCGGCCACGGCCACAGCACGTGCGGAGGCTGGCCTTCCTGGGCCGTACGGGAGGCGACGCTCTGCAAACTCCGGCCACAGGCGCCCAGAGCGAGGCCAGCAGGCCTCAGAGGTGCCTCCTGTCCTTCGTCCCCTGAACAAACCTGGACTGTGCACCCCCTCGCTGAGCGCTGCGCTAAGGCCCTGGGTGCCATGTCTCCAGCACCAGTGAGCAACACCCCATTCCTCACATCTGGAATCTTCCCTCAAATCCTCCAGCCCACCCAGGGCAGAGGGACGGGGTCCGGGAGGAGGAGAGGAAATGGAGGTTGGATGTGACAGGAGCTGGAAAGGAAAGGAGAAGGTGAAGAGTGGGGGTGATGCCAAGACTGGAAATGATAAGGAGAGGGGGGCTCAGAAGCGGCGGGAAAGAGGGGCCGATGGGGCTGAAAATGGCAGGTGGCAGCAGGGGTCAGGGGTCAGGTAGGCCCCGGCCACGGAGGCCCCCCCTGATGAACAGCATTGTGCGTCTCAGGAACACACACTCCCCCTTCCCACGTCCAGAGTCTACAGCTCACGGACCTCTTGTGGCCCCCAGGGGACTTATGGGGGACCCTGGCCTCCTAGTTTCCAAGAACCTTCAAATTCAGACGCTAACACGTGCGGTGGAATGGGAGGCGGAACAGGCTGGAGGGAGGAGGAGAGGAGGTCAGCGCGAGGCGTGAAACCCGTGTCCCAGCCCGGCTGCCGGAACCTGCCAGTCACTGGGATTAACCCCGGCATCAATCCTGTCATTAAACCACCGCGTGAAGAGCACGCGTACGCCTCGCTGCACTTCCGTGCAAGTTAAAAGCACTCGTTTATTCCTCATTAATTAAGGAATTAAGTACACATTGGCCACACGTTTTAGAACTCTGTCCCAGCATTTTCTTGTTTTGGAATAAGGGAAGGCAGCTGCCTGGGTCCTCCCTCTGGCTCGTCTGAGAGGTCCCATAGCGACCTCCCACTGCGCTCCTTGAATTCTAGTCTCGGATCTCAAGGGTCTCTTTGGCTTTGATGCGTTTGCAGGGCTGAGGGAGGTTTGGGGAAAATTCCAGGGGAATATCCCTGTCCCCCACCCAGCCAGCCTTCTTCTCCTCCATCCCGAAGTAAACAGTCATCATGGCCTCCGGGCTGGGCAGACAAGGAGGGCCACCTGGACCACTAATGGGTTCCCCATGTTGTATGAGTCCTCTGGGGGCCAGGGAAGTCTGGCCAGACCTGGGTCACGGTGCTGAGCTAGCCCACTGGGAAGGGGAAGGGAAGCAGGGTGGTGAGCTGGCCCTCTGGGGTGAGGAGTCAGGGTGAGAAGCTAACCCTCTGGGGTGAGAGGTCAGGGTGATGAGCTTGCCTGCTGCAGGGAGGGGTAGGATCTGCAGCACATGCTACAGGGGAACTCTAAGGGCTTCTCGGGCTGAGACACCCTGGGGCACATGATCTCCCAAACACAAACATCTCTCCAAACCACCTGGGAGAGATGAATCACTTCCCGTGACGTCACCCCCACACGCCCATCTCCGCCGGCTCTCCTGGCGGGTTCAGACTCCGGGCAGCTGGGGTGACGGCACACCTCCCCCTCTGGGAGGCTCCCCCTCCCCCCAGCAAGGCTGGCTAGAAACCCCTTACGTAGCCTCAGCTGGCTAATGCACCCAGTAAGGGGGTGGGGGAGCTCCAAGTTCACGATCAGGTGCAGCCTCTTCCTCCTAGCCGGCCAAGGCCTTGCAGTGAGCCTCAGGCTCCTCTTCAAACTTCCCCAGATTGGCAACACCATCCCCCTTTGTTCACCTCCCTTGGCACTTCCACCTCCCTTTCTGCACCCACGTCAGGCCTCGCCGACGGGGGGTTCTCTGGGTCCGTTTCCACCAAACCGCTGCCAAAGCAGCTCCTGCTTTCTAGTGCGGAGACGCAGTGGCTTGCACCCTAGTGACCACCATCGCCGGACAGGAGGTTCCTGGCGGGCTCTTGAGTGGAGGTCTCTCAGAGTGCTCACTCAGGACCCCGAAGCAACACCCCTCCTCAGAGCCAAGCAGAGCCCGGAGCTACGAACCCTGCCCTGCCCTCTGTCCTCCCGCGCTCTGAGGCGTGATGGAAAGCACAGGTCCTAGAGGACCCCCCAGACCTGTCATGGCTGTGAGTACTATCCATGCACAGGGCCCTCAATGCACGTCTCATACATTCTCCTCCTAACCCACTGGTTGGCAAACTCATTAGTGAACAGAGCCAAATATCAACAGGTCAACGACTGAAATTTCTTTGGAGAGCCAAATATTTTAAATTTAACCTTCTTCTAACGCCACTTCTTCCAAATAGACTCGCCCAGGCCGTGGTCTTTTGTGGAAGAGCCACACTCAAGAGGCCAAAGAGCCACATGTGGCCCATGAGCCGCAGTTTGCCGACCACGGTCCTAACCCAGGACGGTGCATGCTATTGTTTCTCCATTTGTCAGATGAGGAAACGGAGGCTCAGAGGCGTGCAGCAGCTTGCCTGGGGCACTCTGCCATGAATCGGGGAGCTAGGATGAGAAGCCAAGTCTGTCCAACTCCAGTCTGGGCACTTCACCTCCACGCTGGACTGAAGAGGAGACACCGCTCGTCTTGTTGGGACTAAGAGAGGGCCAGGGGCTTGGCCCAGGCCAGACAAGTCAGTGGCCTCAGGGAAGGCTCCCAGAGGTCCCCGTGTCCAACTCCATCACAGGAGACCTGGCTCTCAGTCAAATGCTCACCAAGGGCCTGAGGTTCTGAAATCCCCTTCCAGAAACAGCCACCCACGGATGGGAACAGGGGTCTGGAGTCGGGAAGACGGGGCCCACTAGGGACCTCTTCCCTCCCCTGGGTGTTAAAACAGGGTTGCCGGAGAAAGTACAGGATGCCTCGCTCAATTAGAATTTCAAATCTGGCCAAAACCGGTTTGGCTCAGTGGATAGAGCATGGGCCTGCAGACTGAAAGGTCCCAGGTTCGGATTCCAGTCAAGGGCATGTACCTTGGTTGCAGGCACATCCCCAGTAAGGGGGGTGCAGGAGGCAGCTGATTGATGTATCTCTCTTATCGATGTTTCTAACTCTCTATCCCTCTCCCTTCCTCTCAGTAAAATAATCAATAAAATATTTTTTTAAAAGAATTTCAAATCTGAACGGCAGATTTAAAAATACAAGTACGTCCCATGCAATACCCACAGTGGACCCCTGAAACCGTATGGGTGGTATTTATACATTCCATGTTTCGTCCTACACATGCATACCCACAGTAAAGTTTAACTTATAAACTGAGCTCAATAAGAGAGGAACAGCAATAACTAATAATCAAACAGGACAATTATAACAGGATCCTGTAGTACACGTTCTATGACTGCTGTGGCCGATCCTCTCCCAAAAGACCTTATTATGCAGGGCTCACCCTTCCGTCCCTCGTGCTGAGGTGGGAGGGTACGAGGCCTACGTGACCAGACGCAAGCAGGTGGGTGCTGGACCACAGGGTGATTCACATCCCAGGCAGAACAGAACGGGGCGGTGAGGTATGTCATCACACTACTCAGGACGGTGCACAACTTCAAACCCCTGAATTCTCTATTTCTAGAATTTTCCATCTAACATTTTTGGGCTATGGTAGACCACAGTGAACTAAAACCGTGGAAAGCAAAACCGAGGATCAGGGGGAGCTACTGTACTTAACAACAACAACAAAAGCTGCTGTTTATCTGAAACGCAACCCTCACCGGGAGTCCTCTGTGTTCATTTGCTGTCTGGCAAACCCTCCCCGTCCCATCCCCCTCCTCCCCCAGGGTTAAAAGGGCAGGAGACGGGGGAATAAAGCAGTCATAATATTGCATGTAATAACCATGGATGGTGTCCGGCGGGCACTAGACTGATGCGGCTGGTCACTTCCTAAATTCTATAAATGTCTAATCACCATGCTGTACGCCCGAAACTAACATAATAGTGCACGTCAATTGTAAAAAAACAACCCGCTCTCCCTCCCAGGAGCATGCCCGGGCTTTCACCTCCCCCCCTGCCTCCCCCACAGGTGTGCATCTCCTAAACTCCAAGGGACCCCAGGAGACTTGCAGCCAGGGGTAGGGCGACAATGGGCAGCAACCGCTGGTCCCCCAAGCCTGTCCTCAAGGCCCCTTTGCTCTGACTCTCCGGGGAGCTGACAGCAGCCCCCGCCTGGGCTCACTTCTTCCCCAAACATGCCCAGACCCAAAGCAGCTTGGCCTCATCTCTCTCCTGAGGCTTCTTCTACCCTCAGCCCTGCCTGTTTCACTGCCTCCAGCTTTAATACACATCCTCTCAGAATCAGAAGAAGGAAAAATAAATTTCTGTAAAGGAGCAAGAGAAGATGGGATCTCTGCTGGCCGCTTAGTTCCGGGAGAACCAACCCCACCGCAGGGCCCCCAGTAGGACCTGCAGGGCTCCTGGCTCTCCTTCCCCGGCCCTGTCACAGGGGCCTCAGGCCACTGCGGAGAGAGGGCCGGCCCCAGGGCTCTGGGGCCGGAGGCGCACCTGAGGCCTGGTGGCAAGCCAGGCCCAGCATTCACTCACCGGACTGGGAGCGTGCAGGCACTGAGACCCAGGAGGGCCGTAGGAGCTCAGACCCCCACCGGGTCACAGCCCCAGCCCCCTCTAGGAGAGGGTTCCCGCCTGAGCCCTCACCGGCAGGGGCCCCAGACCTGACTGTTCAGCAGGATGGAATCCACAGCTCATCTGTCAGAGCTGGGAAGGTCCCAGGGATCCTCAAGTCTAACTCCAGCAGCGGCCAGGTGGGGAGCCTGAGGCTGTGCCCGGTCCCTGGGCCCGCCCCCATCGGGGCAGAGCCAGGGCAGGGAGGATTTGGGCCGACAGAAGCTGCTGCTGCTGCTGCTGCCCCTCGGATGTCATCGCTGCCACCATTGCCCCCTCCCCCACCCTCATTTTGACCAACACAAGCCCCTCTTGTTTGTTCTTTTCCTTTATTAACTCATTGAATCAGCCCCTAATTAGTCCCTCCTGATGCCTATCACCCTGATTAGGTTTCGAAAATCAAGTTGCCACACACCTCACCCCTCCACCTCAGAGAGGTGAGCTGTTGGCAAGAAACTGAGGGACGCCCAGCCCTGTTCCCTGGTTTGAGCAACTCCTTCTGATGCTACTCCACACAAGCTCCATCAGACCCCAGAATGCAGAGCCCAGACCCCAAAGCCTGACCCCAGGGCTCAGAGCTGGAACCCTTGTCCAGGGGCTCGAGGCCAGAGTCCTGACCCTGGTGCCCAAGGTGGACCTGATACCCCAGGACCCTCCCTCCCAAGCCCTACAGCCAACCCCACCTGCGCGACTGTCAAAACAGGAACCGGGCGCCCATCCCACACCCACCCCACGGCCTCGGCTCCTTCTCCCTGCAGCCAGGTGGGCGCCTCTGGGTTCTCACCTGCGAACGTCCACGGAGGTCTCCACTCCCACCACGCACACCGCATGGGTGGGCTTCTTCAGGCTCAGCCGCACCGTCCGCTGCGAGGCCATCCTCCGCCTGCTCCAGGCCCCCTCGCTCCCGGCGTCCCAGGTCCGCTCCTGGGCACCTCGGAGCCGGGGAGAAGCGTGAACTCTGACAGGTAGTGCTTTCCTCCTCCCTTTTAATTTCACCCGGAGACCTGACGAGCCTGCCTGAGAGCTAAGTCCCCACCTCCTGGCCCCACGCCCAGTCCTCCTCACTCGCTGTCAATCCGGAGCCCTGCGGAGGAGGCCCCAGGGCCAAGGCCTCTCTGGAGGATGGAGAAGGGAGTTTCAGCTGGTGCCCCTGGTGGGGAGCTCAGCTGCCAACACAGGACTTACCGAGCTCCCATCAGCCCCCTGGCCCCCTTCCCTGGCTCTGCCTCGCTCCTCAGACTCTGGGTGCCTGAGCCCAGGCTGTAAAGATGTCAGCGTTTACAGATCTTATCTCGTGTGACAGAAAGCCCTGCAAGGTCGGAATGCTGGGCTCCAATCCACTCTGCCTCTTACAGCCTTGACCTTGGGTGGATTACTTCTCTGCTCCCCATGGAGGATGGAAGCTGTGGTATGGGGACCGCAGGAGCTGTGTGAGAGGTTCAGTGCAGTGCCTGGCACCTAGCATTCAGTACAAGAACTGCCAGCAGCCCTACCTGGTATGGCTCAGTGGATAGAGCATCGGCCTGCAGACTGAAGGGTCCTGGGTTCAATTCCTGTCAAGGGCACATGCCCAGGTTGCAGGTTCGATCCCCCATGCAGGAGGCAGCCGATCAATGATTCTCATGATTGATGTTTCTAGCTCTCTCTCCCTCTCCCTTTCTCTCAATAAATCAATAAAAATATATTTTTCAAAGAAATGCCAGTAATTATCAGTAGTATCTCCATTTTACAGGAGGAGAAGCACAGCTGCAGGGCACACTGACAGTAAGTGGTAGAGCCAGAGTCTGCACCCAGGTCCACCTGACTCCAGCGCTCTTCCGCCCCCTATCTACATGTGAGGGTCTGCCCTCCTCCTTTGACTCCAGAGCTGGCGCTCAGAGAAGGCGCCCAGAGCAATGGACTGGGGAGGGGGGATTCGTTTCGGAAAACCCCCTCCTTTTAGCATTGGCAAGTGCTGGCTCCCACTGGGCTTGGGTGTTTATGGAATTCCATTCATTCATGTGACAGTCATTCACTGAGCACCAGCTCTGGGTGAGGCAATCCTTAGGGCAATGGGAACACCGGCGCTGGGACGGCCAAAACAGACCGCAATCCCTGCTCTGGCCGCATTTGTATTCAAGAGACAGACAAAGGGAATAGAGCCTGCTTTGGCCAGGATTAAATTTCAACTTTTCCCAAGTAAAGTGTGGGTAACATTAGACGGTGCAGTGAAATTCTTCCAAGCAAAAGATGATGGTGGCTTGGTCCCGGGGGGGGGTCAGTGAAGGTGGTGAGAAGTAGTTGGATTCTTAAAGCTGGAGCTGAGGTTTGCTGATGGATTGGATGTGGACGTGAGAGAGAGAGAGTAGTCTAGGATGACTGCAGTGTTTGGGGCCCCAGCAGCTAGAAGGAGCAAGTTGTCAACAGAGAGACAGGAAAAGCTGGGCAGCGGGTTGGCTGTTCCATGTTGGACTTGTTAGACAGAAAATGTCTATTAGACCGGTGAGTGGAGATGATGGATTACAGGGGGCATGCTCCCTCCATGTGGGAGGTTGGGGGTGTTAAGGAAAGTTCCCTCAGGAATCACAGGATACCCCTCCTCAGCCACGGGGTCCCCTCATTCCGAGTAGTCATTGCACTGACAGAATAAAGGATGCACAACCAGAATTCCCCCCTCACAGGTCTGAGGATAGCAAAGAGAGAAAGATGGAGAAAGGAAGAATGCCCACTGTCGAAACCAGTCTAATGGGGCCAGAGGGGGACACAGGCTCTGCCTCCAGGACCCCCAGCCAGATGAGGGAGACGAGAAACTTAAAAACAGCATCAACATTTATGTGGCTGCTTTTGGTTTTGAAGCTCTTCCTGGAATGATCTTTCTTACTGCCAGCATATCTGATTACAAATATTCTTGGGATACTAAGTTTATTACACCCAAAGGCACCAAGACAAAGTCTAGGTTTTCCCATGGATACAGAACCCAACATAACCGTGCTTCAGAGATGTGAGGCCATTAACCAGGGCCAGAACCATTTTGTTCATATGTAATGTAATGTAGCATGTAAAATGCAGGTTCCCTAAGAGCACATGGCATATTCCCATTAGAAAAAGATGGGTGGATGGGTGGGTGGGTGGATGGGTGAATGGGTGGATGGATGGTTGGATGGGTGAATGGGTGGGTGGATGGTTGGATGGGTGAATGGGTGGGTGGATGGATAGATGAGTGAGTAGATAGGTGGGTGGATGGGTGGGTGGAAGGGTGGGTGGGTGGAGGGATGGGTGGATGGGTGGGTCGGTGGGTGGGTGAATGGATGGATGGAAAAGATGAGATGGTGTACAAAGATCTATCTACAAAGATGATGATAATGGTGATGATGATGGCAACAATGACAATAATGATGATGATGACAAAATGTGAGCAAACACATACAGAGCCCTCACCACACGCCAGGCAGTATTCTAAGCCCCTTCCATGTCCTGACTTATCTAATCCTCACAACAATACCAGGCAGCAGGTACCAATTAAGCCTGGAAGCCCAAGTTCAAACAGACCACAGCCTGCGTGTGCAGGAGGTGCCTTCTGCAGGTTGTGGGCAGGGCAGGGGCCGGAGCAGGTCACGATGTCTTAAAATAAATGTTCTGAGAGCCGGAGGAAAGAGGGGGAAATGGCAGAGAGTGGGCAGAGAGGCTGAGAGGAACATCACTTTACAAATGAAAACGCCAGGGCACAGAGACGCCAAGGGCCCCTTTCAAGATCCGGAGCTGGAAAGCGTGGAGCCAGGATCAGACGGAGCCCAGGCCATCTGACCCTAAGTGGGCTCGTAATGTTTGGCTAGATCCCTGGGAGGTAGAGTATCGGGCCTACCTTCTTCCTCGTGCTTTTGTGTATTGTTTGAACAGCTTTGGTGAGCAAAAATGTTTACTCTCGGGGGGAAACCAGAAGTGTTTCCTGTTCTGGCCTCCCTGCCCACCCTCTGCTGTCTGCTCTCTGCCTCCCTGCCTCTTTCCTCCGGCTCTGAGAACATTTCTGTCAAGACACCAACCATGACCTGCCAGGGCCACTGCCCTGCTCAGAAACCTCAAAAGTCATCTCCTGTACACCCATGCTGTGGTCTACTTGAAATTCCAAACTTAATAGGTCGAATTTGGGAGGCGCCGGGGCAGCGGAGCGAAATGACATCATTGACCGCTCTCTCCTCCCTTAGAACATACATAGCGCTGGGAGGGCCTGTCCGGGTCAGCCTCACACGCAGCCCCGTGTGGAGGGGAGAGGCCTGCCCACTGCCTGGCGACCGTGGGACTCTAGCTTGATTCCAGGATGTCCTGGAACAACCCAGGGAAACGCAGTAGGAGATGTCTGATGCTGGTGCTGCCATGTCTATGGCCTCATTTCCTCCATTCTTTAGCAACTTCTTCCTAGCATCTTCCATGTGCCAGGCTTTATTCTTGGCCCTGGGATACAATAGTGAATTAGACAAGCCACGTCCCTGCCCTCAGGGGGCATACAGAGTAGCAAGAGAGACAGAATACACCACAGGATGGAGACTAGGATGTCAGGAGGGGTGAGGCATGAGGAAATAGGGTACAGGGGCAGGCTGGATGGGGTGCTGTTGTGAGTGGGCTGGCCAGATTAGGCTTATCTGGGGAAATGACAGTGGAGCTGAGATCTGAAAATAAGACCTTGGCGATGTCATGGGCTCTTCCAGTCTAGAGGATTCCATTGCTCTAGAAGTACCCCCTATCTGTCTATATTTACAAATGGGATTGTTGAGCTAGACCGTTTCCAAACTCGGATGCTCTCAGGAGTCAGGCAGATAGCATAAATGTGTGAAGCTGCCAAATGCAAGACAATAGGGAAGAGTGGCAACTGTGGCAAAGGGAATAGAGCCTGCTTTGGCCACACATTAAAATTCAACATTTCTTTCAGACAGAACACTATGGGTCAAGCAAAACCCATCTGTAAGTCAGAGCCGACCATGCACAGTTAGCTCCAGACCCCAGCTTTGCCTATGTGTGGCTTGGGGGGTAAAGGGGGTGATGGAGAGAATAACGCTGCTTGGGGAAGTCATTTGATGCTGATGAGAAGTCACTTGGGCCCAGGTGAGTCTTGCCACCATCAGGCATGGATCTTGCCTGCCTCAGGCCTTATGACCAGGATGTCAGGAGGGGTGAGACAGAGTGGGTTCTGGGCTGCCCCCATGATTGCTGACACCAGTTCTTCCATTAAGGGGACGCCCTCCCCAACACACACACACACACACACACACACACACACACACACACACACACACAGTCTGTGCGTGAGCTTGCCTGAGACAGCCATGGAGGAGGGGGGATCTGCAGGGCCAGCCTTGGCCTTGCTCCACTCGCAGCACCCTGAGCACAGGGACAGTGGGCTTCAGAATCCCCGACTTCAAGCTGGAAGGGCCCCTAGAGACCATCAATCCAGGCTCACTTCTGGCTGGGTAAACTGAGGCTCAGAGAAGAGCAATGACATACCCGTGATGACCCAGTAAAGTCACAGGAAGCCAAGCCTGGGCCCCAGGCTCTCAGTCACCCCCCTCATTGACAAAACATCTATTGGATACAGGTGCTGTTCCAAAAGCCAGAATTCTCACACCTGTTGAGAACTCTCAGCTCCTTATATTGGCTTATTTCCCTGGGGGTCCCCTAGGTCACCCCTAACTCCTTCCTGTGCCCCCGGGTAGGTGAAGAAGGGACCTCAGAGGCTCTGACTCAGCCATCGAGAGAAAACAGGGTACACACTGCATCCTGCAGGGCAGAGAGCCTGGGGCCAGTGGCTCTAATAGCAGGAAGTAGTGAGGGTCACAAGTCACCCAACTCAATTCACTCAGTCCCCTCAGAGCCCGAACCCCCAGTACTGGACATGCAAGAGGCAGCTGATCAATGACTCTTTCTCATCGTTGATATTCCTATCTCTTTCTCCCTTTTCATTCTTTTCTAAAATCAATAAAAATATGAAAAATCCTATCTAATAAAGAGG